CAAGATTTTTAAAAGTGTACTTATAAATCCTAAAAAATGTTCAGTGGCTGAATTACTTGCTTTTGTGCTTCTAGTACAGACAATGTTAAGTGTCTACTACTGAGCCTCAGATCCGGAATGACAGAGAAACTGAAAAGGCAAACAAGCACTAAAATACATTAGTACTATAGTTAACTGGTGGGCAGTAAAATTTAAGAAGCAGCTCATGGAATTAAAATTTCTAAGTCATCATAGCCCCAAGTGCCAAAATATTAGAAAATAATCTCAAAGTAGAAGAAAAACATCTCATGGATTTCTATTTGTAAAATTACTAAAGAAAGTGAGAGTGAAACAAGGTAGAAATACTTTCCTTAACTAATTAAAAACTACTTACTGGTCGTGTAAAAAATACTCGCAAAACTTGTCTGAAAGTTCTCAAATGTCCAAAAAAGTCCAAAAGCTAAAAGAGAAAGTGACAGTTTATTAATTCAAAACCTCCATATGCTAAGTCTAAAGACCAAAGGTGAAATTCAGTTCCCACCTAATCTAATATTCAGTGTATGCCACAGCTAGTCATCCAATTATAAATCATTTCAAGTTTTTTTTTTTTTTTTTTTAAATAAACTAGTGCTTAGAGTTGAGCCACCTCTTAACCCAGAGCTACAGTTTAATTAAGACAAACCTATGTCAAAGATACTGCAGGGGTCTAGCAGTTAAGAGCACTGGCTGATCTACTCCATCTCCATATAGAGGCTCACAACCCTCTCTAACTCCAGTCCCAGGCGATGTAACCCCCCTTTAGGCCTCTGAAGGCACTGCACTGCACTCATGTGATACACATACACAGAAAAAACACTCATACAGAAATAATAAAGGAGGGGGCATTAACTTCATTTGATTCAAATGCCTTTGGCACTTAGATTTGGAAATTTCACTATGCAGTGCTGGTGCACACCTTTAATCCCAGCGCTTGGGAGGCAGAGGCAGGATCTGTGAGTTCAAGGCTGGCCTGGTCTACAGGGTGAGTTCTAGGACAGCCAGGGCTTCACAGAGAAAACCCTGTCTCAAACCAAAAAGTTGGTCTTCATGAATTCCAGAACAGCCAGAGGTAGGTACATAGTGAGATCCCATCTCAACCTCCCTAACATACACAATAAGTTTCACAGGGCTACACAGAGAAACCCTGTCTTTAAATCTGACCCTCCCCTCAAAAAAAAGATGGACAAAAGTTGAAGAGTTGAAGAGGGCATAAGGGGAGAAGGGCAAGATACACCATGGGCTTTAGAACTCTATGTATCATAAGTGGTACGAAATGGTACTGTGAGAGTGTTTTCTACACATCTACCTTAGATATCACTTTGCCAATGTTATGTTACTTACTTTTAGTATGAGGTAGAGTAAAGCCAGCAATATCCCAAGACTCCACCTAGTTATATTACCAAACTCCCCATAGCTTATAAGGTACCGAAACCAAACTGGTATGGGGACAAAAATTCGGTAATACTGACATAATTCTTCTAAAAGCATGTACCAATAACCCTAAAAAAAAAGCAAGGAAAAAAAAATTAAATATAGCTACCCAAAAGGTATTAAACACATAGCAGACATTTGATATTGGAAAGAGAACATCATGAGTATACAATACATTAATCACAAGAAATTATACTTCAGAATTATGAATGATTAGCACAGACAAATTCATATTGACTACCACATATCATTGTCATCACATGGCTTGCTTTCAAAGTATTTACAAAAAAACAGGTCAGTTTTGGGCCGGTAACCACAAGGTGGAAAGGTATACACAAAATAAATAAGAAAGTTAATGTTTTCATCAATAAGCTGGGTATGGTGACTCAAATTTGTAACCCCAGCATTTGGGAGGCTAAGATAGCAGGAATGCCAAGTTAGCTCAGGATATAGAGGGAAACTTTGTCTCTAATAGTAACAGTAAGTCACTGAATGACTGCTTATGTACTCATTTTATCAAATGGCAATGCCTTGGAGCAAAATGTAAGTACAAATGTAGAATTTTCCCATATACGAGAAGATTGAGTTTTCAATTATCCCAGAAGAAAATGTAATCCTGAATTTAGCCAATTAAGTTATTATTTTCAGTTTAAGTACTTTAGCAAATCGTTGCCAGGCCTAGGTAATAAAAGTAGTTAAAATTAAGTTACTTATGTGTTGGAGAGATGGCTCTGCAGTTAAAGGCACTTCTTGCTCTTCCAGAGGGCCCGAATTAGCTTCCCAGCACACACATTAGGCAGCTCAAATACTTCTAACTCCAGCCCCAAGATATCTGATGCCCTCTTCTGGCCTCTAAACTAAGAGACATTTAAATGAAGACTAACTGGCACTAGTAGGTTTTGCTAACATCACTTTTAATAAGCATTAGTTTTTTACCTTTGATTTAAAAGGCATGATGAAAGAAGGCACCAGTAAAATTAGGCATTTTAAACCCATGAAGAAGAATTTCAGAATGAAGTCTGTAATTCCAACAATCCAAAGAACTTCCCAAAAGCTCAATTGATCCAGTGTAGGATTTAAGAAAATTAAGCTACCAAGAGAAAAGCATAAACATTTATGAAAGCAATATACAAATGTAAAGTACTGGTAAAAGTTTTAAGTCTGCTGGAACATTTTATATATTTTATGTAATAGTTAAGTCCTCTACCACTCAACGGCCTCTCTAATCTGTTCTTTCTGGCATCTAACAGTATACTCCTACAGAAGCTCTAAGTCAGAAATGTAGCTTCCTTTCATGTCTGAGGCTGGGCTCTTTTCTCCACCTAAACTTTCTTTAATTGGTTTTATACAGGTCTGTGAGCCCTGTTTTATGTATTCATTCAGACAGGGTATCACTATGTCAGCTTAAACAGGCCTCAATGCTGGTATAGGCTATGCCCTGCTAGTCTTGTGATTTTTAAGTGCTATACATACTCTGGAAACCCCAGATGTAAAAGTGTGTATGGGGATGGAATGTGCATGTTTGTAGCCAAGTGCTTGTGAGGTCAACAAAGGGCATCAGATCACTCAGAGCCCCTGAATCTGAGATTCCTCTAGAAAAGCAGCAGGTGCTCTTAACCTCTTTTCAGCCCCAGAGGGCATTCTTGTTTCACATTTACTCACCATTCATCATAGCTCAAATTTGTGCATATCAATTACACTGAGTCAAAGCCTTCTAATTATCTGATTAAAGCTGAAAATTCAGAATAACTGACATAAAAATGTATCTTAACATGTGTTTTAATGATTCAATTATTAGAAACAAAAACGTTGATAATAACCATCTAATGGTACTAAATAAGCACTAATTAAAACTGTATGAATGGCATATACCTGTATTTCCAGCATTCAAGAGGCTGAGGCAGGAGGACTGCAAGTTGCAGGGTAACCTGGACTACACAGTGAGACCCTGTTTCAAAAGCAGAAAAAAAACTGATCAAATAGAAATCCACTTATCGAAAAGTATTTACTGGCTGGGTGGTGGCGGCACATGCCTTTAATCCCAGCACTTGGGAGGTAGAGGCAGATGCATCTTTGAGTTCGAGGCCAGCCTAGTCTACAGAGTGTATTCCAAAGAAAACCTGTCTTCAAAAACCAAAAAAAAAATTTTTTCCCTAAGCACATGCTATGTGCCAAGGTACTGGGAATACAAGTCACCCCTGTCAATCATGAAAGGAGGTAAGTGAAAACTGAACTACAATAAATATTTGCAAGTGAGATATAGACAGAATGCCATGTAATAACAACAGAAGTATACTAGGATCTCTAATTACCTGTAATAAAGTGACTGAGAATGAAAGGTGTAATATAAGAGAACAGAAGAACCTGCTAGGAACACCAATAACCAAGCACACTGAATCTTTGATGACCGTTCCTGAAAAAGAAACAATTTTGTAATTTATTTAAGTGTTGTGTTAGGCCAGAATTACTAGTATTATTAAATATCATTTTAACTTTATGACCAATTTATTACCTTAAAATGTTTTTTTAGATTATTCTTAATAAAATAAAGACTACCTGCTGAATTGTTCATCATCATAACCATTTTTGGTTTTGTTTTTGTTTTTTTCAGTCACTAATGAAACAGACCTCTAAACAAAATTTTAAAATACAAGCTGGTCATAGTGGAATACGCTTTTTATCAATCCCAGCACTGGGAAGACAGATCTCTGTGAGTTTAAGGCCTACATAGTTTGAACTTCACACAGAGTTCCAGGACAGCCAGGACTATGTAGAGATCCTGTTTCAAACCATCATTCCCACAAAGAATCTACAAACACAAGACCTAGAAGTCAAAGAAGCAAATCTCCACACTGATATAAATAAAGGAACTGCCCAAAGCAATCCTCACCTCTGCTGCTTTTTTTCTCTTCTACAAAACAGAAAATTAAAAAAAAAATATTCATCTACCCAGTACTCGGGAGGCAGGTGGAGCTCTGTGACTTCAAGGCCAGCCTGGTCTACAGAGCGAGTTCCAGGACAGGCTCCATCTTGTCTCAAAATACCAAAAGCCAAAACAAAACAAAAAGGTATCTAAGTAAATCAATTCAGTAATTTTCATCTTTGAAGTTCAAGTTTTAGTAGTTTAATTCAAAGATTTACAGTTGAGCATCCTAATTCAAAAACTGGACAACTTTTCAGGCACTAACATGACGGACATCTCAGAGAAAATTCCTCACCTGACTTGACTTCACAGTCAAAACACTGGTATACTAATACTATATAAAGCTGCCTCTGGACTATGTAGATAAGGCAGGCATAAAACAAATGAAAAACACTTCATTATGTATATATTAGTACTATACACACACACACACATATACATATACATATACATACATACATACATACATATTTTCCAGACAGTCTCTTTATAACCCTGGCTGCCCTGGAACTTGCTCTGTAGACCAGAATGGCCTGGAACTCAGATCCACCTGCCTCTGCCTCCTGAGAGCTGGGACTAAAAGTGTGTGCCACCTTGCCCAACCTTATATATTTTTTTTTACTTTATTTATATATGGAGCCATCATGCAGAAAATCTGATAACTATACAGAATCTGATGGCAAGAACCAACTGTTTTGATGTACATGACTATCTGGTTGCACTGTACAACTAACAAATGCAATCAATACCAGGGACAGTCACATTTGTACTAATATTTTTGTTATTTGTTTATATTCTTTTCTAAAGATAGAGTATCACTGTAGCACAGGCTGGCCTGGAACTTACTACATATTTCAGACTGACTCTGAATTCATGGCAATCCTCCTGCCTCAGTTTCCCCAGTGCTGAGATTACATGCACACACCACCATGCCCAGAATTAACTTGTGCTAGTTTTAAACTATGCACTAAATTTTGTTAATAGGCTGTACTATCAATTCCCAAATATGAGCTGGGTGTTGGTGGCGCAAGCCTTTAGTCCTAGCAGAGGCAGAGGCACTCGGATCTCTGAGTTCCAGGACAGCCTGATCTACAGAGGTAGAACCAGGACAGGTAGGGCTATTACACAGAGAAACCCTATCACAAAAAATCAAACAAAGGAACAAACAAAAATCCCAGATGTGACTACTTCTCAGAAAGTGTTCTTATGGTAAAATTGTATAGACTCTTGGAAATTTTTCTAATGATTTATATGATTAAAACTTTTATATTAATAGAAAAATTGAGGGTTATTTTCTCTCTCTTTTTTAATAAGAGATCCCTGACATTCATGGTAGGGCATGTGTTTAATCTCAGCATTTGGGAGGCAGAAACAGGTGGATCTCTGAGTTTGGGGCCAGCCTGATCTACACAGTGAGTTCCAGAACAGCCAGAGCTACATAGTAAGGCCCTGTCTCAGAAAAGACACCTAAAACACCCAATGTCCATTTATTCAATGCTCCATTTTACTTATTTTCAATCCTATGGTACATCAACTAAAGTTTTAAATAATATTATACTACTTAGTGTGTTCCAAGTAGCTCATAAAGTACAAAGGCCCTTCCCAAACTAGATCAAATGATGTGGTCTGAGTTTTTTAACCCTCTTGTTTATGTTTTCTTTATTAGGAATGAAACACAAGGAGAGGTAACTAAGCATCAAGACAGGTAACTTATTCCAAGTCATTTAGAAAACAAAATTAAGCATGTGGTAGACATCACAACTTATCTTGTTGCTTTCTAGGCTTCTTGGAAGTTACTTCTATTTCTCAAAATTATCTCTAATTCTGTAGAGAGAAACTGTTAATAATTTAGTTGCTTTTTATACTTACTCTTAGAAAAACCTGATTTACAATGCTTTTGTTTGCATACATAAAAGTTGTTAGCAGCCCAATTCCAAGAGAAATTCCTGTTAGAAAATAAGTTCTAGTTAATTGAAAGAAAAGAAAAAAAAAACCAAAATTATATATGCTAATAGTATAAATTAAAACATAAATTTAACATAGGTTAAAATTATCAGTAAAAAGAGAAACTGAATTTAGTAATGTAGTCAATGTTTTATCATTTCCTACCTGTTATATGCTGCATCACAAGTTTAATACCCAGAATCAAAATATAAGGAAGACTTTTCTGCAACCACTTGAAGAGATAGCGGAATTCTGAGAAGGAGCCACTTCCATGATCTCCAGACTCTGTGGCAAAGTCATCAGGTGGCCTTGCTTCACTGTGGGAATGACTCCGGAAACGACTGTGTGAGCACCCGTGGGCACAGCTACAGACACCTGATCTTGTGTTTCTAGAGCTCGGGTTTTCAGGATGGTCTTTAGGTCCTGAGTTTATCTGGATATGTACGTCTCCAGGATGAAAACCTTCTGTTGTTCTTGATGTGTGAACACACTGGGAGGCTGAGGCATCGTCATCACTTGAAGTGCCTGTTGGATCGTGCAGTTGGTTACAGCTGGCTTGCATGGCCCTTGAATATTTTTTCTCTAAGATGTCTTTGCTTCAGGACTCTTTCTCCTTAAAAATAAAATCAAAGGGCAGAAAGCATCTAAATTAACAGTTAATCACAAGCAGTGTATTACTGTTCATTAGATGTCCTTTATTCACTAAAGGAATATCTGGTACTCACAGATGGACATTCAGGTCCAGTATCACACTTCTTCAAACTCTGCTGTCAAAGTTATGCTGCCCCTGCCCCAATCCCAAAGTCAATAGTTTTTTAACTTATTTAGGGGTTACTTAAAATACAAAGGATATTTAGTGCACATTTGCTTTTGAACTGCAGATGTCTTGACTTCTCTAATGCCAAGACATCAGCAAACAGTCAAAGAACGGGTGCCCAGCAGATAACACTAGTAGTACTCATACTGAATATGTAGGCACATGTACTCTGGAATTCACATTAAGACATTTGCTAAGGGTAGGTGGGATGGCTCAGTGAGTAAAGGTTCCTCCTGCCTAGTCAAGTATGCTGATCAGGGTTAAACCCATAAGATAAAAGGAATGAACTGATTCCCACAAGCTGTCCTCTGACACACACAATAAATAAATGTAACGAATTTTTAAAAGATTCACTAATGCTTAGAAGGGAAAAAATCAGTGCCTTATCAAAAGATAAACATTTCGTTTTAAGCTGAAAAAGCCTCCCCAAAGCCACTAAGGTTTTCAGTAATTAATAGTGTTGTTACTCCCCAAAAGAATGTTAACAAAATACCTGTGAAATGGGGTCCTGGGGGGGGGGAGTCATCACGTAATCGCTAAGTGATGCTTTAGTCTAAATAAGGAGTTAGCTTCTCCAATAAAAACGCCACCATGGGCGGTGTTTGGCGGGGTAAGGTGCGCCAGAAGGGAGGCTGTGGGCAGGGCAAGATCCCTACGTGATCCAGGATGGATCTCGAAGAGGGTTCCAGAGTCGCACTCTCGCCTGCCGCAAGCCCACACAGCAGGGCCTCCCGTTTCCCCAGCGAAGGAGCAAGCTGCGGCTGGCGCTTGCTCGGGAGCCGTGCAGTTACTGCGTGACGTTTCGGCGAGGCTCCGAAGCCTCAGAGGAGAGACTTGGGACAGGACAGTTTATGACTCTGTTATAAACAAAAAGGAATAAAACACAAAACCAACTACCTTCCTGGCCTCCTTCATAAGCAAGAGAAGGGAAAAGGAAGAAAGAAAAGTAAACGCCAACTCTTCCGGAATCTGCGAAGACCGAGTTCTCCACCCACGTCCGAACCTCGGCTCTTGTCCCCAGAAACCCTCCGCCTCACCGCCCTTCCTCAGGCCTGACCTCTCATGACCAGGAGCGGGTGGCCTCGGCAGCCACAACACCAACAGCCCGACAAGCCGCCGCAAGCCCTTCTCGCCGAGCCTCCGGGCTCGGACGCCACCAGCAGCAGCGGCGATCGGCCTGGGCCCGCGGCGGCGCGCGCCCCCCCCCCCCCGACGTCGTCGTGCGCGGCCCGCCTTCGCCAAGCCACGCCCTCGCCTGGAGGAGGCGGGCCCCATAAGCCCCGCCCCTACCCGGAGGGTGAGCAGGAGGGGGGCGGTGTCTCTAAGCCCAATCGCCACGCTGCTGCCGCAGCTGCTGTTTTCCCAGTGCCCAAGTGGTAGTTGTGTGCGCTAAATTAGGTATGCGTGTCCGGCACGTCGTCCGTGCGTTTGTAATCTGTCACGCGCGTCTGAGTACTGCAGGATCTGAGGTTGAGAATGAGTAGGTTCGGGAGCCCGCATCGGCGGCGGGGCTCGGGCCGAGGTTGTGGGGCAGTACTCAGGGCTGCCGGCCTCCCAGGAGCCGCGGTCGGGAAAAGAATGCTCCGGCTTCCGGCGACGTGTTGCAAGCCACGCCAGACCCGCTGGGCGAGAGGTTGTGAATGACCTGGATTCGGGTTCCAGCCTTAATGTTGGGCAGTGCGCACTAGTTCGTGCCAGAACCGAAAGAGTTGCGAGGCGGTGGAAGTAGATTTTAAAAAACCCTTGTTGGAGAGCAGGGCACTCGACTTCTAAAATAAAGGCTACCAAAGGGGAAAATTACAGGGGCGGTGGAAGCGCACCCTTTAATCCCAGCACCGGAGAGGCAAACCTCTGGGAGTTCGAGGCCAGCTTGCTCTAACAGAGCGAGTTCCAGGACATCCAGGACTGTTACACAGTGAAACCCTGTCTCAAAAACAACAACAACAACAAAACCCCAAAAATATAGTAAACAAACAAAGAAGGTGGGAATGACAGAAAAAGAAGTTCTTCTGAAAAGTCTAATCCATCAAGTAAATAACCCAATTCCTATGATTCCTGAAATGAAGTGTTTGTTTCGTGGGAGATTAGTTGAAGGGACGGACCTGGGCAACACTTTGTGAGTTAAGTGTCCAGTGATATTTTGTCTTTTTGTCTGTCACTCCTAACATAAATCTTTCAAATACCTTTCCAAAGTCGCTGGTGTGATTTCTTTCATAGTAGTAGGACTGAATCCACTGTTTTCAACCTCAAGACTGTACTTAAAATCTCTCATGTCGAAAGTACTTAAAAAAAAAAAATCAAACCGGTTTTTGATCTCCTCACTGTGATCAGCACATTGGGTTTCTTTTCTTTCTTTCTTTCTTTCTTTCTTTCTTTCTTTCTTTCTTTCTTTCTTTCTTTTTTTTTAAGACATAGTCTTAATGTAGCCCAGGCTAGCCTAGACCTGGCTTTGTAATGGAAGGTGGCCTTGCTCTTGTGCTTACTTTCTTCCCTGCTGGGACTGCAGGTGAGTGACTTCATGCCTGGCTCCTTATTTTTGAATCTAAGGCTTTTTGCTTCAAGCTTTTCAGTAATTACATTGCTGGATGAGTAAGACTGAGGAGAATGCTCCAGACTGCAAGTGAATTTTCCAAGACCTTTGCATATATTTTACCATTCCAGCCTCATGAATAGTTCATTATTAATTTTTTATTATTACTATTTGTGCATATGTTGATGATGGAGGGTAGTCCCACCGGTGTGGCAGTCAGAGGACAACTTTGTGGGGTTTTTTCCTCTCCCACCTTTACTTGGGTTCCAGGGATCCAACTAAGATTGTCAAGTTGGGTGAAACAGGGATCCTACATGAATATTTTTATTTCAAACAAAAATGCACGTAAGGTAAGCATGGTGGTTCATGATTGTATCGCAGAACTATGGAGGCCAAGCCAGGAAGACTGCTGTGAGTTCCAGGCCAGTCTAGGGTCTAGAGTGAGACTCTGTCTTAAAAAAGAACAGATAT